AGAGAAAAAATAAGTTGATAGCTAGTTTATGTAAAAAATAAAATTTTATTTTTTTTAAAAAGAAGAAGTGATGATTTGTTAGAATTTATCTTACAAATTGAGGAGCAAGAATTTCCGAAGTTTTTCTCTTTTTTTTTTTTTTACTGCTGTTCATATTTTAGAACTTTTCACCTCTCTAGCGCTTTATAAGAAGTAAACTGGTAAAATTATTCCTTTCTTCCAACCTTCAAATCTAATTTAGGGTTATAAATTATTGAAAAGTGATAAATATAAGGGTGTGGGGGCATTTCTAGGAAACGGGGAGATTGATGGGGGAAACGAGGGTCACATTTTGATTCAGAGGGTCATGAACATAAGAATCAGTAAGAATAGTGTCAGGGCTCAATTTTTTTGCACCTCAGTATTACATAAAGAATTTTAATTCAAAATTTTCCAATTAGCTGGAAGTCCATTTTTTTAACAAAAAGAATATTTTACACACCTTTTTCATTATATACTTTTATTAATGTAGATTATTATTACTCTTTTTCACGTTCAGAGCATTAAATAAATGTATAGTAAAAAAAAAAAAATTCAATTAAAAATTTTTTTTAAAGCGTTATTTTAGTATAGTAATGATTCTTAAATATACTGTTTTCTTTTTGAAATTTAATTTAAAATATTGTATTGATGGACATGTACAGCAGCTGGGAAACATTCTATGAAGTTCCATGATTAAGCTACTTCACCATCAGACTAACTAATCTTTTATACATTTCTGAATTATAGAAACATCATGGTGGGTAAAATAAACTACCTTCGAAACTCAAGAAAACATTAAAGAAAGTACAATGTTTGTAATAAATACATTAATGTTGCAACCAAAAAAAATTTTTTTTCCTTCTTAATGACCAAACAAAATTGTAGTTTATGCATTTTTATCGAGAAAGTAAAACTTATTTACACAATATAGATACATAAATAAACATTTAAAGGAGCACATCATCAATGATGTCTAACAGTGTCAGCCGGTTTGCATTATTACTGGCAATTGGAATCAGTTGTATATTGAAATGAAATTTCGAAAAATAGAATCATATATGACAAGATTAAAATTTCTTTGGATATCTGTCCCGCGACCACGGGACATAAGAAATAAAATTACCTGGTCACGTATCATAATTTACTAAATGTGAGGTACAGTCTGAGTTTCAAATGTCCAAGGCAATATTTAACATCATTTTTCTAAGATATACTCAGTTTTTAGGTTCCGAATTAACCTTAGGTTTGTTTCCCCATTCACTTCAATGACTCATTATTTTTCATCACTTCTCTAGGGAGATGCGGTTCTTGATATTTATCAGAATGCGGAAGGGTCATATACATGTGGAGAATGGGGTATTTCATTTCAACAAAAATAAGTGCTTAATTTGTTGAGCGCTCTGGTAAAGAACAAAGTCTCTCTTTTCATCAACCAATGGAGAGAATTTACTTGAATTTGCGTATCTCTAACCTTTTTTTTAAATTTAAATTTATTACACAACTCCTCATGCTCCACAGCGTATAACACGAGGCTTAGACATGCAAGTGGGCAACGTACAATTACAAATTAAAAGGAAACAAAACAAAATTAAAAGTTCAAGTTGTAAACATAATTGAGTAAATTATTTAAGTTTTCAGTGCATTTAACAAACAAGGGCAAAACAGGTGGCCAAGAAATACCCGAGTGTCTCACTTCCTTTTTTATGCTTTCTCTTTAAACTTGAATATAAATTACAATAAAATATAATGTGTTCTACAAAGTCAACATCCTGACTACAAGAACAAAAACTACAATTCACTAAATTGAGCTGCGGTGGCTCTGGGGATAGAGCGTTCATCTCTCAATGAGGTGAACCGGGTTCGAATCCCTGCGACTGATCATCGATATGAATTCTGCACCCGGCCTGCACCGACCACAGTGCTGACGTAAAAATATCCTCAATGCTAGACGGATCCTGGGTTAGAGTCCTCTTGCTGTCAGACTAACCGTGGGAGATTTTTTTCTTCATGTAATGCACGTGTCTTATTTCCATCAAAAAGTCCACCACGAAGACAAAACTTTCTCTTAATACTTGATCCTGGAGTTCCCTTGTGTTCTGGATTGGGTTCAAAATTACAAGACTACGGAGCTTTTCATTGGTGGTCGTAAACTTAAAATTGGATCGGCTGTTCAATTACCATTATAAAATAAAATTCACAAAAATTAAACCTAAAAAAGTAGCTGCTAAAAGTTCGCTGTTCTGTACGAATCTGAGTTAATTTAAAGTGAGTGAAACATTTCCTACACCTCAACTACTAAAAATTAGTAGGAAAAACTCTTTTAGTTTACACAGCTCTTGGTGAAACCAAGAATTCTGTGTTCCAGTCAAAAACATTTCTTTCCCAAGATTTCCAGTGTGACAACAAGACAGATAACGAAAGATTAATATCAAAGCAAGTCGCGTTTTTGGCCATTCTCTTTCATTGCCAAGATCACCGCTATGGCCCCCAACTAAGAAAAATGAATTACAGCAATACCATTGAGAGGGCGTACACAATGGAAAGAATTTCCACTATAAGTCTTTCAAAAGAAACTGTATTATGCAACAGATGAAGTGAGGAAAGTGAAATTGCACAGATAAGATACCTAAGATTCTTATTTTGCTGAAAAGAGTCTTTAATCCATTTTAAGGCAAGATTTATGTACCAAGTTCAGCTTGAAAAATAGAGCATTCGTCTCATAATCGATGCTGGAAAGAAAGTTTATCAATTCTGTCTTCATAAATAACATAAGCAAGTCCAACTTTTCCATCCAATTTATTTCCAGATTTTATATTCAAGACAGACTTCGCTATAGCTAGCATAAGAATAAAGCGTGATAAGTTTCTCACATGAAGAGTGAGGCAAGCATGTGAACAAGGGTGCCAAGGTGAGTACTTAAATAATTGTCTTCTATAACTAATACTCCTGTACCCTTTAATGACATGAAGCAGAAATCTCCGTTGCGTTTTTCTAAGAAGTCTACAATTTATTTTCTTTCTTAAGGTATGGCTTCAAGAACTCGATACACAAGATATGAGAGGAACGGTACCGTTTATAAATTAACCGAAGAACATCAGATTTCACCCCCAAAAGGTATTTGAAATTCTTAGCAATCCAAGAACTCTTTCACTTTTACTGGAAACAAAAAATATGCTCCTATTGCAGTTTATGATCAATCATGCTCAAATAACATAATTTGCTACACTTCTTCAATCGGCACACCTCCAACATTTAAGTTAATTCTTTGATCAATTGTCGATAAATATTTATGACTCAAAAAGTCCTTCAAGAAGGCAAATTTAAAAAATACTTGATCCAGGAGTTTCCTGTCTTCTAGATGGGATTAAAAATTACAAGGCTAGAGAGTTGAACACCAGCAGTCGTAAACCCAAAAAATTAGGTCGGCTGTTCAACAACGGTTGTAAAATAAAATCTTCATGACTCTTGTTTTAAGTGGATTAAACTCTGGTTAATATAATTTTGACCAATCAAAATTATAGTCAAGAATATTCTGTGACAAAATATAGGCTCTAACCATATTAAAACATTAAATTAAAATAGTCAATTAAATTAAGATTTATAATTCAAACTTGAAGCGGTCGATGTCAAAAGGGGTATGTAACATATTTTCGTATTTGCTGGGGTATAAAATACGCCAACGAAAAATAAATAGATGCAGTTCAACAGTTTTCTAGCAGTAACCAACATATCAATGCCACTGAAACAATTAGACTGACGGAAACATGACTTTTCAGACAGCTACTGTGATTTTTCATACAGGCATGACCCTAACAACCATTTTTCATACCTGGAAAAATGGTTTCTAGGCAGTACTTCAACAATTCGGTATCCCACACATTCTCTTCGGCGGCATCTAAAAAGGATCCTCAGCTCCTAACTCTAAAGCTTATCCATTTGGACGTGTACCCATTAATAGCAAAAAATTGGATGACCTGAGAATCCCTTCGAACTATGTTGTTGGTAATGATTTCTATACAATGTTGTAGAGATGATCAAAGACTCAAACAGAAGCTAACTCTATTTCCCAAAATCTCAATGAAGACACTTGTAGATATACAATATTGTGCAGATGCTCAGACTCAAACAGAAGCTAACTCTATTTCCCAAAATCTCAATGAAGACACTTGTAGATATACAATATTGTGCAGATGATCAAAGACTCAAACAGAAGCTAACTCTATTTCCCAAAATCTCAATGAAGACATTTGTAGATATACAATATTGTGCAGATGATCAAAGACTCAAACAGAAGTTAACTCTATTTCACAAAATCTCAATGAAGACATGGAATGACCTTATGATTTGTCATCAACTTTTACAATGTGTCAAAATATTTGTTTGGGGAATAAAATTATTGCTTTGAACATAAAAGGATAACTCTAACTTAATTACTTTTTCCTTTCTTTCTTTTTTTTGCTGTTGTTGTCAATGTTAAATCGGCATATGTGCTAAATTTCAAAAATGTATAGTTCCAACAGCTATACCCGTTTCTTGATATCAACTACCCAGTAATTTTCTAGACAGTCTAAAGAAGAGAATTTAACATTTTGGAAGAAATTAAAACAATATTTCCACAACTGATAGTTTTTTTGTGTGGTTTTTCTCGAAAGGGCAGATTTGTAACATAACCCCTTTTAACATTGACTGGTTCAATTAAACTTTACAAATTTACTTAAATGAATCTAATTGTATATTTATACAAATAATTCAGTGAAAAAGTGAGAAAATACTTTCTTATTTCTAATGTTGATATTTGATTCGTAGAGTCAGCGGTTTACTGGAATAAAATTTTTTGGGCACTGTATTCTGATTCTTTCCATTGGTCACTTAAATATTTTTAACAAATTCAATTAGCTCTGATTCAATTAGTTTGAATGATTTATTAATTGCAAAATCATAAGTAATTCAGGGTAATAGGAAACAACTAAAAACACATATAAAATACTAATTTTAATGCTTGAGATACGACAACTAAACACTTCATAACTAAATCTTTGCTCTGTTCATGTTTACAAATGAAATGTTTCATATTTAAATAAAAATAAGAGTAAAAAATTCAAACAAATGCTCTTGGAGATTATAGATTTCCTTCAGTATGATATATTTCAAAACATGGTACAATACATAACCCCACATTGCAGTCACGACACTCATATCTCGATTCCCGGCGCATCTTTTTACCATCATTTCTAATTAGTCTGGAACACACATAGCACCTCCTGGTTGGGTTGATTTTTCTTTTCGTTTGTAAAATGTACCTGGGAAAATGTCTCCCTGTAAGGCGATCAGAATTAGATGGAGTAAGAGTAAGCACTGTCCCTTGTGAAAGAAAAGTATTGATATCTAGGGGAAAGAGATAAGAGATAAATTACATTTATTGCAATAGAGAGATTAATATCTTTGTTGCAATATTTCAAATTATAGTAATAAAAAATGCTAACAAAAAGTATTTGAAATAACAAAGAATGTAACTATGATGTAACAAAGAATATGTCAATACTCTTTGTAAATAAAATAGGTGTCTCAAGGTTGCACAATTTTCCTACTCTCTACACTTTTCTTCTGATTGTTACCACGGAAACAATCTTGTTCTGTTTCAGTAAGAAGAGGGAACATACAGGTGAGAGAACTGATTGAAGAGTGGTAATCGAGCAAATAAAAGTGTAGAGAGTGGAAAGTTGCATAACCTTAAGATGTATATTCTAATTACAAAGAGTATAGTAGGTTCAGAATGACCTGCCATTTTAGACCTTTGTAGTAGTAGTTATTGAAGCCACCAGTTAGGATTCTGCCTTGTTATGCCACTTGGCCTGTATTATGAAAACATTTAGTTACAAGAGATAATAACAGTAATAAAGACTTAAATAATTAAATTTACAAAAGTAAAACTATCAATCATGTTTGATTTATTTTATTTTAATACATAAATTCATTTCTGTAGTCACTGACATGGATCTAGAGATATCCAAAAGAGCCTCGTTCATTTTTTTTTGTTAGCTTGCTTCTAGTTATAATTTTGTAATGTAATGAATTAATAAATGTGTTCCATAAGCTGAAGAAAAAAAAAACTTGATAATGGGAAATTATATAATAGTCAGATATAGTCATTTTTCCATAAAACTGTGAGGATATTATTATACATCAGCAGTTTGAAGTTAATAGCATTATTTTAATGTTATTAAGTGAAAATGCAATAATTATAGATATTTAAATCTAAACTATTAATACCCTTAAAAATGACACAGATATTAACTGAAGTTAGATAAAAAAACTGTTTTAATAACTCATTTTATGATTTTTTTTAAAGCTAAAATTGTCTTTTTTGTTTACTGTGTTGCCAACATTATTACAACATGTCTACTTAATGACATATTTAAATAAATAAAATTTTTTTCCATTGAAACATAAATTCTCAGCTGTCTGGAACATCAAATATATTGATTTATAAAAAAAGAGTTAACAATGAATATTTCTATGCTTTAAAGCTAAAACAAGAAATTAAAATAATTCAAAATATTGAGAACCAAACATTTAACTTTCATAAAAAACAGCAATAGACATTTTTGAACTAATGACATATTAATTTGATAAAAGCAATTTTTTGTCTAGTTCTTGAAAGTCAGACAATTCTCATAGATAAAAGTTAAGGCCATTCTTCACAGAGTTGATAATATTTTTGATAAATATTTATCTATGACGTTATCGCATTAAACCACTTAAATGACCACTATATTTAGATATGAAGCTTATCTGGCACAGAGGCAGCAAATTTATTTTAAAGTGAGGAAAAATTAAAAACACTACCAACATGTAAAGAATCCAAATAATGGAAGATGAGATTGAAAGAAAAAATCAAAACCTGTTTGATTGCCAGATAAAATTTGGAGATGTTTCTAGGTTGCCTTTCAACTCCAATCAATATTTTCAATCACTCAAACTAGTTGTTAACTTTTATCCTGCTTTACAGATTTTGATAGCCTTTTGGTTTATTTATTTTTTTACCTAAATATTAATTTGTGGATAGTTTTTTTTGTTGACAAATATTCTAAAAATATGTATTAAGGGCAGTACATTTTTAAAAATAAAATTTAATGATACATAAAACCTTTTATAATAAAATCTTAATTTCATAATAGTCAAATATTTTAAGAGAAAAAATATCACACTTATCCACTAAGTAGAAATACATGCATTTTTATTCTTAAATTATATTATTTTATATGTGATAACAGAAATAAAATAAAATCTTTAAAATACATGTAGTAGTACAGAATTGCTAATGTAAGTGTAATCTAGTTAGATATTCAGATAGGTAGGTTGTAATTATTTTTTATGCTTTAAAAAAGATTGAAATTGAGACATATCAACTAATTTCGATTCTCAATACAGGATTAACTCTTCAAATGCACAATATAGTGTTTCTTTAGATTTTCCTTTAGGGCAAACTTTTGACCACATATTTCGCAAGAATGAGGTCGTTCTCCAGTGTGGATGAGTTGGTGTCTCTTTAAAGATGAATTATAAGGTGTTACATATGAGCAGAGGGAACATGAATGTATAACAATGCCATACTTCTTTTTTCGAGCATTATTCATTGCAGCTTTCAGTCCTGAAGAAGAATGCACATAAAGAGATTAAAACAAGTCTTCAGACCATTAAGAGTATATAATAAAATAAATATAAAACACTAGTACAATTTCAAAAAATTTTTTTGTTGCAAGAAATCAATAATTCCAGGTCTTGCTCAAAACTTACTAACATATTTCATTAACAAAATCTGATTGTTAAAACTATTTTTAAAAAATTTAATTCTTACAATTTTAAAAACACAAAAGAAAGAACCATAAAAAAGTAGATGGCTAGAATTGTTTTCAAAACATTGGAATGCATTATTTATTGTAATTACATAAAAAAAGACATTCAGGTAATAAATAAGCGTATAATATACAATATAAAAGAAAAAATAATAAAAAAAAAATCCTTAATAAAAATATACTATATTATACTACTATAAATGTGAGTTCAACTTGAGCAAAACATATTTTATACATTATTATGTGTAATGACTAATAACCTGCATTGTCGATATTACTCATTATTTTAGACCAGTGCTTGTATATCTAAAAATTTTTTTTCGAAAGACAAAAAAAAAATGTACTATCAAGTTTTTTTATAAAATAAAATTAACAATGTAACTAAAATGTAAGAATATTTTTCTTATTTATCTGATACAGTGCTGGAAAAAGAATTTAAGCAAAAAATTGGTAAAAACGTCTATTTATTCAGCTAAATATTCCTGGTATTTTTGGTGTAAGTACCAATTAGAATCATTATAAAACTTCTTCAAAATAGTATCATTCTTTAAAAATTATTTTATTTACTAATGTTGATTATTATTTACTCCAGGTAGTTGTAGTACAATGATTTTATAAGCTGTTGCTGGATTTTTTGAAAAAAATATTTGATTAGAATAGAATATTGAAGCTAATAAATTAATTAACGATACTTAAAGGGAACTAATCAGAACTTCTAATAAAAGATTAATAATTTATCAAAAAGGTATTTCAAATAAACTCATAATATTACTTTGAATTTGATTTTTGTGCAAATATGCAAAGGAAATATTGACAGTCGTTAGTTATTTTACCAGTATGAGCAAATTCAAGCACTTTCCAGTAAGTTACATGAAACTATGAGCAAAAGTAAAAGCGAGTGAATTTTTGATAATTATGATTTGTAACAATAGTGGCATTTTCGAAAAACATACTAATATTTCAACAGAATAATGAATTTTTAATTAAATTTTTATTGATAGTAGAAAAAAGTACAAAAAGAAGAAAGGAGAGTATAAAAACAAGAGAAAATTAAATTAAAAGAATATGTATAATTATTATATAAATTTTTGCTATCAATGTACAGACACAAAGCTATTAATAACGAAAATCAGAATGATGAATTAAGTTTTTAAAAAGACATACTGTATATTAACATTTGATATGTGTTAAGTAATGTTTTTTGAGATTTTCTTTTAAAGCAAATGTTTTGCCACATATTTCACAACTATGAGGCTTTTCTCCAGTATGGGTAAGTTGATGCCTTTTTAAGTGGCCTTTATTTGCTGTTGTATAGGAACAAAGATAACATTTGTGGATGCTAGTTGATGTGCTTGCTTTTATTTCCTGGCAAAACTTTTCAATCAGGAGAGAATCAGGGACAAAACCTAAAAAAAAAAGTGTACAAATAGTATTTGAGTGAAAAATACATAATTAACCATTAAGAATTTCTTTTTTTTCAATCAAGCAAATGAAACATAAAAACAGCCATGACTTCTTATTTTGAAAAGTTTTTATCACTTACAAGAAATAAATAATTATTTTAGCTTAGCTATGATTGAAATCGTGAGGAAATTATGAAGAGTATAGTTACGAAATATATAAGTGTGAGACTAAGAAAGCATCTCTTGCAAGAGCTAGTTTGTCGACCAAATTGGTCATGGAAATTAGGGCTCTACAATTTTGAGTTCAACAGCATTAAGGGGATGTAGTGAGATTAGCAAAAGTATATTGGCTGTCTTTACTTCCTTGACAAACTAATATCTATGAATTTGAAGCTGGGTAGGTTTCAAGCTGCTGACATGAACAGAACTATGGTCCTTCACAACACCACTAATTCCATAACTATTGCATCGTCATGGCTCAACAGATAAATGTAAATTTCCAAATTAATAAAATTATTGCACAAATTAGTCATTATTAAACTTTGGTTACCCATAATTGCAAGACCTTGAAATAAAAATATTAAAAGCAAACAATAAGTTACAAAAAATATAATATACATACATAAAGGAAGAAACTGGGTATGAAAAGATTGCCAAAAGAGTATTATGAATGACAAAAAGCAATAAAAAGAATCAATTTATGACTTTATTTTACTAATCTTCATTAGATGGCTACAATGCCAGATGAGCTATTTAAAAGATCACAAAACAACAAGCTATCCCCCTATAAGAGTATATTGCTTCAATTCTTTTGCATCATATTCCCTAAACTTTTTTTTAAAGGCACAAGGATATTGCACAGTTTAAACTTGCTCAATAATCTTGAGAACATTATTTTAAGTAAACTATCTTACTATTCACACGCCTGCACTGATCCCAATACTGACTTTTTTTTTTAATTTTCAGGCCCATTGCTTGGTACTCTTCACACTTATTCTTTATCTACTCTGTATTGTGGAAAAGTCATAACTTTCTCCAGACTAAAAAAAAAAAAAAATCCTACTTTTACATAAAAATTAATATAACAATGGTGTAACAAACTTAAAGCTTTAAAATACTTTCAAACACATTCTATTATTTAAAAAATAGGTTTTATTATCATATTGTAAAGTCTGAAATTGAACATAAATGCTACCTGCTGAATTTGTTATAGGAAACCGTATTTTTCCCAGCATGCAAAAGATATGAAACAATCCACTCATTTTGGGAGGGAGTTTGAAATTGAAGGGCTAGTGCTAAACAGCTGTACCTACAACCTACTTGCCATGAGATAACTAGGCCATCCAAAATTGTACACATAGAACTGAACCAAATGAATGTTGAAAAGTATACATTTGCAAAAGGTTGATAAAATTATTTTTTATACTTGTATTTATCTAACATGTACCCCGTAAGGCTCTAATTAGCAATTAATCTAAGCAAATCTAAGCAATTAATTTAAGCAATATCTAAGCAAATTAATGAAAATTAAGCTTGTAAAGACAATTTTTTAAAATTCTTTTTAAATGATTTATAGCATCTTCTCTCCTTCTTAAAAAAATTAATTTGGTCTCAAGTGTGGATTTACTCTCAGTGGCGATAAAATTAGGATTTCAAAAGCTACAATTTCAGTTTTGCTTGCAAAAAATAATTTTTATATAACAAAAAGATCAAAACTGGGAAATTATCAAGGATACATACTTTTTTATTTAGAAAAGTAAAGTAATAATGGAATTAAAAAGATTTTNGAAAGTACACGATTTTTAATTGCTCTTAATTAAAAAAGTAGCATTTTTTGGGAGGTAAAAAGATGTTTTTCAGGACTTTTCCATCATTCTGAATTCATTAAAAACATAAAAAAAATTGACTGCAATTGTCCATTATAAAAAAAGATATCATTTCTAAAACTTGGCATATTTCCTTAAATTTAATTTTTATGTAAATCTGCAAAATAAATTTTTACAGTCATAAGTAATTTCACAAGTATTCATTCACAGAAATTCCAGTTATTTATATCAACTCAAGAATAAGAGCAAAAATCAACATGAGTGGTGTCATTAATATGATTCATGATAATAAAAAGAGATGCTAAAAAATAAAACTACTTCAACACTAGAATTATAATATTTAATTGATATTGTTAAAAAATGTAAGAAAAAAAGGAAAATAAACACATTTAACAAAGTAAAATTTACTGAAAATAAAGCTAAATAAATAAAAAATCAATTATCCAAATTTAACTTTGTCATATTGAGAATACATATGTTCAAATTACAGACTAAAAGCATTTACAACAAAAACCAAAATTATGATTTAAGATTCTTAATAAAATAAAGTGCATATCAACATTTAGTATGTATAATATAATGTTTCTTAAGATTTTCTTTTAAAGAGAAGGCTTTGCCACATATTTCACAATGGTGAGGACGTTCTCCAGTATGAGTGAGTTGATGCCTTTTTAAATTAGATTTTAAGTAAGATGAATAAGTACACATAGAGCAGGAATGCATCTTTAGAGTAGTACAGTCAGCACTTGACATTGAACTAGGCTGTTCTTTAGGGGACATAACATAACCTGTATGTAGTTAAAGAAATACTTTTAATTAACAGTAGGAGTAGGTAGAAACAACTTTTTACATAAAAGTACTTTTTAAATTAAATAAATTAAAAGAAAAATAATATTTAAAAAGTATTGAACAAAATTAAAGTTTTTTTTATTGTCAAACTTTGCATGCTGTTTCATTTATTTAAAAAATAAAAAGAATTAAAATTTAGAAAGCAGTGAATTGTCAACTCAATTCAGAGATGTAAAAAGGAACTTCACTATTATTTATAAAGAATAAAGTTATTAAGAAAATAAATATAGTGAAACATTAATTAAAAATATACAATGGAACCTGTTAAAATGGTCACTTACTTAAGCTGATGTTAATAATCAAGTATCNAAAACCTTCAGCGCGGCGGACAGCTGGCCGCCTTAGGCGGCTAGTAAAGAATAAAGTTATTAAGAAAATAAATATAGTGAAACATTAATTAAAAATATACAATGGAACCTGTTAAAATGGTCACTTACTTAAGCTGATGTTAATAATCAAGTATCAATCAGGCAAAATAATTATAAATCCTCTTAATAAGTTGCTTACCTCAATAAGTGGACCATCTAATATTTGTCATAGATGGTCAACTAATAAAGGTTTCACTGTACAAATCAAAAATGTTTAAAACAAACTGAAATTTCTATATGCAACTTTTTTAAAAAAGTTACATTTAGTCAATTAAATAAAAAAATCTAATAAAAATTATATTTATTAATTCACTACTCAATACACAACAAACACTGTCCAATATTACACAAACCAACAATATATTTTTTTTTAAAAAATCATTTTTAAATATTTAATCAATGCAAAAATATTATCTAATTTTAAAGCGACAATTAGTTTTGTTTTATCTGCAAAGTAAAATAGCAAATTAAGTACATACGTATACAGAAAAATACTTGTAACAAAGTTTCTTCATAGTTTTCCTTCCAAAGCAAAGGTTGTTCTTAAATGGAAGACAAGAACATAATTACGAAAATGCATGTGAAATCATCCCTCTTTATTTTTTATGTTTGTTTTTAACATCAAACTATAATTTTTTTTTGTTTGTTTCGAAAACATTATATAGTTTGAAGGCACTTTTTGCAGTAAATATACTTTATGACTATATTAATAAGCAAATTTTGGAAGTTAGTTCAAATATATTTCATATTAAAATTGCCTGAATAAAAAAATATACAACATTTAACAACCTTCTATTTAAGAGTGCTTTCTGAAAGGTAATAATTTGTATCATATTTCAAGTAGAAGTTAATGCTTTATAAAACTTTAAATTATATATAATATTTACTTAAAAAAAAAAAGAAAGTTTTTACTCTAAAACAAATATACAGTAAAGAGCACTTTTCATAAAGAAAAGTACTTCACAATTATAATTTGTACACTGTGTAAAATTTGAAAGCTTATATTAATATATCTCATTCCGAAATTATCTGAACAAAAAATATACTTCAATTTAAGCAACTTTTTATTTAACTGCGCTAGATGTTTTTTGAAATTTAGTAGTTGGTAATATATTTGTAATAGAAGTTGTATCTTTAAAAAACTTTATAACTGTTTTAAATTAGACAAAATCTTTTTTTACATATTATCTAATTTGTTTAGAATACTAGTTACACTTCAGGTATCTTTCTTGCAAACCTATTGTATTTAGTACAAATAATTATTATAAATGTAATAATTAGGTATTAATAGTAAAATTTAAAATTGTTAGAACACTTGAATAATTTAATTAAAATAATTTTTTTAGTTCTTTTGCATCCCAAACTTTTTTGTTTTTTCCATATTAGCAGGCAGATAAATTTTTTTGAATGCTTAAGAAAATTCAAAATTATTAGATAAAAGTATTCAGAGAAAAGTACATAGATTAGAAAAAGCCGTTTTGCAGAATTAAAATGAAAAAGAATTGAAACTGATATATAAGAGTGGAAAATCCCTAAGAATTCAATATTGCAAACTATTTCATAAATTTACAATCATGACAATAATATAAGTCTTCCGAGGCATTTTCAAAAAAACTGAGGAAATTGGTATCCAAAATTTAAGTAATAAAAGAATGGACAAAGAAGCAAAGTGACGTTTGAAAAACGTAGATTTTTATAACCATACATTTAAATTATATAAAAAAGAAATTTGATGTAAGTCACTATATCAAGTAAACAATATTTTTCATTCTATTACAAAATTAAATATTTGGGATTTAAAAAAAAATATTTAATGCTTAATAAATAAAAAAATTAAGAATATGAGATGTTAGAAAGCATTTTATAAAACTCTTGTTCAAAGTAAGTACTTATTTTTCACATTTAAAAAATGATGTGCAAGTACATATAAAGAAATAATTAATATAAAATGTGACGTGATTTTCCTTGAGTAATAATTATAAACAGACATTATAAAGAAATGATTTAATCAAAGTTAGTGCTACCTATAACAATGAATGGAAATTTTTATGTTGATTTTGAATGCACAAGTAAATGCTTTTTCAGATTTTCTTTCTGAGAAAAATGACGAAAACATATAAGGCAAGCATATGGTTTTTCTCCAGTATGTATGTACTCATGTTTTTTTAAGTTATATTTTTTTGAAGAAGCATATGAACAAAACCGACATAGGTGAAGCACAGGAGTTCCATTTGATTTCCTTGTCAAAGAAGAATGCATACCTATAAAATACATAGCATTTTTGACTTTTAAATGAAAATCTTTTAATCTTTACATAAAATGACAAGTTTCATAAAAGATTTAAACTTTGTTTAAAAACTATAAATTAAGATCTATCCATATTTAATAAAACAGAAAGCATTCAATCGGCATCTTTTAAAAAATAAACAAACCAATATTAAATATCAATTACGAGCTTGAACACGTAAAATATTATTTAGCTTGGTTCCTTTGAAAACATTTTAATTTAAGAGCACATTTGAGTTTCAAAAATAAAGCATTGTGCTTTTACTTCCCACACAAGCTGAAACCTATAGCTCTTAAGCTAAGTTAGTTTCAAGCCGCTACTCAGGATCGGACCCTAGATCTTCATACCGATAGCTAAATTTTTAACAATAAGTCATCGAGAGTTTTCAATAGGGAGAAATTACTGATTTTAAAATTAGCTGATGGAAATTTTACTAGAAGACTATTATCTGATTCCTGATTTATCATAAGGCTTGCATTTCTAATATTTTGAAAATATTTAATTTTCCCCTTAAAAATTGTTTCAAATATTTAACAATCAATAAATTAAATACATGCTTAAATTCAGAAATCTCTTAGGTTTAATACGTCATCATAATTCTCAAAAGTTATCAATCAATCAGAAGTATTTTTTACAGAAATAAGGTAATGTATGTTAGGTTCAAGGTCAAAAACAATGTGTACCCAACAGTCTTTTGCATAGAACATCTAGATTTATAAATAGAACCCGGTGCTTACTTGTTGTAATAGTTGAACAAATAAAGTACTTTAGTTTCAAAATAAAACTTATGATAAAACAGAACATATCTAGTCCACATACATGGAATTAGTTAAAATTATTTGTCCTTGCTGGAAATTCAGAAAAAAATTCAAATTCCTTTGCAATTTTTTTTATTATAAAACTTAAAAAAGAAGTTAAATGAAGTTTTAAATGGAAACTAGATTTAAAATTAAAAATAAACTAAGCATTCAGCATCAGTAACATTTAAAAAAAATAGGTGAATCTATTTTAAGTGCAATTATGAAAGAGTAAAAACATTGCTTTTTCAACACAAAACATTAAAATACAACACAAATCAAATTATTATGGAAAAAGGAACTTAAAGACATATGTTAATAATTACACAATAAAATTGATAAATTGAAGCTAGCTTTCAACAAATAAAAAAGAATAATTTATTTAAATAATTAATAAAATACATTTAAAGACATAACAAAGGTCTTATTTAGCAACATGAACATATGAATTATTAGAAAATTAAATAAAATTTATGAAACAGAAAAATTTAATCAACTATAAAGATGCTCAGGCCAACTTAATAACAAGTTCAAAAATAATGTTAAAGTTCAACATAGGTTTAAGTGGCATATGACATAAATATTGCAATGTGAAAAAGATAAAATATAATGAAATAGGGTTTTTCTTAAATTCATTAACTGGTAACTTTTTTTTAAAAAGTTTTTTTTTACACATTTTATCTTTCATTATAGTAAAATTAAAGCCCTCTTACAATGTCTTCCGCAACAGCCAGGTCATGGTAGTTAAATCTCCACAATTTTGAGACTAACCGCATTATGGTAGCTTCGCAATTGACAATGTGCAACAACAGTCTTTATTTCAAACTGGTACCTATCAATTGGGAGGGGGGGGGCCTCGAGCCCCTACCGTTCAGTGCATTAACTACTGAATCATCAGTTTTTTTCATAGCAGAACCTGGATTATCCTCACTTATCGGACAAGGTTGCGCTTACACGGATACATTTTCTAGGGGTAAAAATATTCAGAGTAAAATTAATTCAAATAGATAACTAATACAATGAAGTGAATTACAAAGTTCATTAACTTTTCTCTTCATTTTATAATTATAAAGAACCTTAAAAAGAAGCATGTTATCATCTAATAATAAAAACGAGTGCTTTTAAGTATTAACTTTTCAGGCATTCTAGTACTAAGTGGATTCTTATAATGGATAGAAACTAAAAATAATTAGTTACCTGTACTTAAATGAACATTTCACTAATCCCTACTCACTTTTACTGGTTTAATAGCATGCTCTTGTTTAATCTCTAAAAAGTAATTTAAAAATGCAAATGAAGCCTTATACAAATTGAAAATTTTTGAAAATGATTGAGCCATTTTGTGTTCCTACAAAAAAAATGTAACAACTGAACAACATTTTTGTAAATAACTTCTGTTTTACTTTAATAATAAAAGTATTTTGACAATTATTTTAAAAATACATATATCCGGGGGTGATTGTAAGCCCAAGTCCAAATTCCGGAAAATTTCTTGAGTTACAAAAAAAAAAGAAGTTTAAATTGAAAAAAATTTAAACAAGGTTTCTTTCCTTTTCTCAATATTTCTTAGTTTACTTAAAATATATTTAAAATTTTACACATACCTATAGCATTTACACATACCTATGATGACTTGGAGAAGTAATTAAAATTTACAAAAATGCCTTTCTTTCTTGAGTTTATGATTATAACAATTATTTACTGATAGAAAATGAATATTAATTATGAATATAAGCTTATAAAGTATCTCTCTGGCTCTCCCTTACAAACAAATTAAATAAACTGTGTTTTAAGTTCCACCTTTGAAAATTCGATTTCCGGAAACTTCTGTGATCAATGATTTTTTTAAACGTCTGGACCTTCGATCTCCGGAAACTTCCGGATCACAGTTAGCGAAAAATCCGGAGCACAATCAGCCCTGTATATCAAAAGTTACTTTAAAGCAACTTTGAATGAACACGAAGGTGCTTCTTTAGATTTTCTTTTTGAGAAAATCGACGAGTGCAATAATGACATCCAAATGGTCTTTCCCCAGTATGTATATATTCGTGTTTTTTTAAGTTAGTTTTAATAAAAGTTGAATAAGAACAAAAGTGGCAAGAGTGTAGAAGAGGCTTAGCTGGACATTTCCTTGAAAAGTATGATTGGAAACCTGAAAAATATACAATTTCTTTAATTTAAAATTGTAAAGTAATTCTAAGCAGAAATGTTTTCAACTCTTAATATTAAATAAATTCTATTTTCTTGAAATGATTTATCATGTCACAAAACCAATTAAAACAAGATTAAGAAAACAATTTCAATTTGAGTAAGATGTTAAATAAAAATAATTTTCTCACTTCATATAATACCATGATAAAAACGAAAAATATTCAGAAAAAAAAAGCTTGTTAGAGTTTCAGAAAAGTATCCCTTCTCTTCTACGTAGAATCTAAGACCAAGTCCACTTCAAAAGAGCTCATTATATTTATTACTAAAATTTTGACATTTAAAGGACTCCACCAGAAAGGAAAATGATTCTATTTCCTCCATGTTGAATACAAAAAAGTACTTGAATGCAATTTCCTTATTAAGATAACTAATTAATATTATGGGACATTTCTGTTTCATTTCATTCAATGAAATTTGCTCAAATGAGTCTTGATACCAAATTTAATGGTTGTTAAGCAAAAAAAATTTTTTTAAAAACTTTTTCAAATAAAATACTTTACAAAACGAAAAATATTTTATAACATTGATTAATAACTTAACAAATAAGGAAAATGCATTCATATAATTCCTTCTTCGTCTGTTTTGTTAAACAGTTATTCACAGAAAAGCTCCAACATGAATGCATACAGGATGTCCCCTGATAGAGTCCTGTCTTGCGCTCATGTTTATCGAGTTCTATTTCAATCAAATTACAATTCTATATTCATTTTATAAATGTAATTGCATTCATATAATTCTTCATTGCTCAACACTGGATAAGTAGAATCCCTCTGAAGATGTCTCTTAAATGGAACGAATAAAAAAAAGAAAAAAAAAGAAGATAAAATTTTTAATGTGCCCGGAAGAAACTTTGTTCTAGTAATATTTATAAGAAACTAAATTTCATCTAATACATTTTTGTTCCTCTCTTTTTGGTTGCGACTTAGCAGTTTTTATGTTTCTGTTTTAAGAAATTGCTGGCCAAGCTATTAAAAGTCTGATTGGTTTAAATTTACTGAGGTATAAATCATTTTTATAATGACCATTGCTGTAAATCACTTATCGTGACCTATTCAAGCTTTTTATACAAATATTTCATCCATGAGATCTTGTTAAAATGCAATATTGCCAAATTTTTCCTTTTGAAAATATTTTACATAGCATGCTTTAAGTTGAATTTTGACGATCAAATAATATAACTTAAGCTAGGGCACTTATAAAATTAGAAGAAATTTATGGGTCATGATATCTTTTTACACAGTTAAACTTCTTTTGCAGTAAAAGGATATTCATAAGTTAGTTAGTTAAAAATAAATGCATTTAACTTAGGAAAAGAGACATTCATAGGAAACTTGGTTAATACTATAAAAAATAGAATATCAAAGATAAGTAAACATATATACAAACATGAATGATTTATGTATAAGTTTGATATACATTATTAAATATATACACATCCATTTATAATAAACATGGAAAAAATTATAAAAGGTAGATACTTTTAATTTAAACTTAAAGGGAGAATGAAAAGTTTACATTATTAAAAATTTGAAATGAGAAAAATACCCATTAATAAAGAAATAAAAAGATTAAAATTAGGCTGCATGAAATTCGTGTATTTAAAAATAAAATAAAACATATGTTGTTATCTGCAATCTTTCAATTCTTTATTAATTATTTTTTCTACTTAAAAGTAGTTCAATTTCTTCATCGACTCAATAGCCCTCTGTTCACGGTTCTATAAAATCATCTTTTATTATGTTATTCTTCTTGACAGGTATTCTTTACTTACTCTAATTGCTTTTTTATTCTGATGATTTTCACCTTTTCTAGCATAAGTATTCCATGACTTTCCTTTGACTATTTTACAAACTTTGCCTTCTTTTAAGACTTTTAAAAAAAATTAAACTCTTTAAGACATTTCAGATTTCTTTTGTATTAAGTTGCATAGATATAATTAGTGATCCTAGTATTTATAGTAAAATAACATTTAAATGAAGCTTACTAAGTCTAAAAAGAAAGTAATTTTAATAAGAAGTAAATTTAGATTAAACACATTATAATTTAATCGAAACAAGAAAGGATGAATAAAATAATTTTAGATAACTAAAAAAAAAAAAAACGGAAATTATTATCAATGAAACAATTGCTTCATATCACAAGATTCTTAGATTACTCACGATTAACTATTCACTAACAAGATTAACTTAGAAAATTATATGTTGCCCATTAAAAGCAAAAATAAAACATATATTTTTATGTGATAAATAAGTACTATCATCTATCTTTGTAAGCACCTGTTGCACTTCGTAAGCTTCTGATGCTTTTTGCAGTTTTAGTAATCTCACAGAAGATAGCGTGTGTTCATAGATGTCAATTTTTCACATATGTATTTTATTTGGGGAAACAGTGATCTTGTTAAGCACCATTACAAATAAAAGAAACAAGTATCATCACCAGCGGAAAACAATGAATTAATTTATTTATTGTTCATATTTGTTCAAATTAAAAGTAAGAGCTCAGATGCATGTGCTTACTTTATATTTAAAATCTTACATTGCTTTATATGATGCAGAAAAATAGTTACACTGCTTCAAAACCGAACAAATTTTTGTTCACGATCACATTTAACATACTTTTTAAATTAACCTATTTTATTTAAATAAATGATAATACGTAATTATATTTTTCTTATTATGACAAATTTTGAAGGCTAAACACAATTGTTGAAAACTTTTAAAGCAATAAAAGTTTTTAAACGAAGGTTGAGAGATGTTTACAGGTCACAGACAGGGAACAAACCAAGGTTCTTTAAAATTACAGTTAGATGCTCTAACCATCATGAAAAAAAGTTTTATACCTTGACCAAGATGATATAGGAAACTTTAAGTAATAGCCGCGACAAACTCAGTATTTTTCTCAAAAATATTACAGCTTACTCGGTTGTTTATTTTACATATTTTCACTCAATACATAACAAACATCATACTTTTCACATAATCTTAAAATGCACCAAATAGTGCTTTTTAAGATTTTCTTTCAGAGCAAATCTTTGATTACACATATGGCAAGCATGTGGACGTTCTCCAGTATGCGTCAGTAAGTGTCTTTTGAGGTACCATCTGTAAGGTGACTTATAAGAACATAGTTGACAATCAAATGACTTGGTCTTTGCACGTTGAGAAATTTTATTAACTCCTAGAAAAATAAACTAGGCTTAGGAACAAAAAAGAAGTGTTCCATATACTATAGAACTAATATTAGATTGGAGTAGAATGAAAGATAAAAAAATCACAAGTTATAATCAATTCCATTCATTTAAATCATAGCGTGTTAATTTTCTTCTTTAGTTTTTTAGATACTCATAAAAAAGTATATAGAGTGACCTTATTGATTTAACAATACTTTGCAACAGAATAAAACTTAATTTATAAGCATATAATTTTTTTTCACAAATAAACCAATGGTACTAAGATATGGTATAAAAGAGTTTATCCTTATTTCTTTAAGAGCAAAATTAAATTTTCTTTAAAAATGTTTGAAATAAGTTTTAATTCAAAACATTCTAAAAATAAGAATATATGTAAGAAGTGAACAGCAAAGTAATTTTTTAAATTTAATGTAGTATAACTCTGATTTAACATCACTAGTAAAATATGATTGCCTCTTTTAACTCTTCTTTGCTCGACTTCGCGTGGAGGTCGTCGGGCTACCAAAGTGGGGGTGCCATCCCCTCTGCAGGGGGTAAAAATTGTGATGGCATGTCTTCGGATCATCCTCAGGGATGTTTCCTAGACCGTCGCCAATAGCCCATTGTGCAGCTCTAGTGCGACGTAAGTTAACTACAACAAGCCTCTTTTAACAATTTTCAGCTTGGTCTCTTTTTATTTTCTAAATATATAATGCAAAAAATTTCCAGTATTTAGAGTGTCTTCTAATAATATTTTCCTAAATGAATATCCTGAGTCATCTTTCACAAACTGTTAGCTCAAAATATTCACATAATGTCAAATAGCCACACACATAAAAGACTGCATCATTAATGGTTTCAAAAATGGTAGTTTTACATCAATTCAAACCCAAGAGAATATTGTCATCATTTCAGAACAAAATGCAGAGCCTGATACAGACTTTATGGCAATCTGATAGCGATCCGATGAGTTGTGAATCAGTGGCAATTTCTATAGCTGAAATTATTGAATCAAGTCCTTATGAGGACTGTGAATCTTCAGCCACTATCATTTAATGAAGCAGCAGATATTGAAGATTTTATTCCAAGGATTAGATTTCTCCAATAAAAAAAGTGAAAAAGAGGGCTATTTCTAGTTAAAAATAGGGACTTTGGAGTTACATTTATAGGTAACCCTTAACAGATCAAGAAGGCCATATAACACCATGGCACTTTTACTCACTACTTCCAATGTCAGACATATGACAGCAAAAGTCAATAGTTTATTACTGTCATATTTACAATTAATTTAATTATAATTACATTTTGTGAGAACTTTAAATATTTCCAGATTGTTAAGGGCTAACACTTTTTAATTTCACAATAAATGATTTAGTTAATGTTCTTAACATAAACACTGAAAAAAATCACTTGAATAGAATTCACTTAGGTGGTCAATAAGTTTCTTAACTTAGTAATTTATTTTCAAACAACACTAATTTTAGAAAATGTTCTAGATTGGCATTTAATCAAAACAAGTTTGAAATTTTACAAAAATTAAAAGATTTACAAAATAAAGATTAAATGAATCTGATTCTTGCATCAAATTTCTCAAAATATATTTAATACTGTATACATTTAAGATTTGCCACAAAAATTGTGAAATAAATATTGAAAAAAAGTTAGAATTTTTTTTAAAGAATAGCTACATTTTTTTATGCTAAGAATTCCCATTTTTTACTGACTTCACCACATTTGTTCTAATTTTGCCTCTAAAGTACCCATTATTAAGAGCTTTCTTCACTCTTTTAGATTATACACATTTAAAAAGTTCTAATTTCAATTACAGCTAAATATTTAAGTTGAAATAAACAGATCATTTTGTGAAAGACCTCACTATTTTAAACTTCTTCTAATTAATGAATTGTTAATACGCTTAAAATCATTTTAAGTGTACAATTTAAAAGAATAAATTCAAATTTTGAAACAACTATTCTTAATCAGACAAGATTTGTTTTCTCTTCAAAAATAGTTAAGCACATGATCCTTTATAAAATTTCAATGTAGGAAATTTTAATGAATAATTTTAGATAGATAAACAGATCATTTGATTCAAGTCAAGTCATCAAAATGCAGAAACAACAAACAGGGTAAAATATATAAGACACAGCAATCATTTTTGTACATTTAGCGGATAGTTCCCTAAGTCCAACCTACAAAATATTTGCAATTTTTAATTAAACTTTATGAGGGAAATCAGGTAAAAAAAAATAAATTCTGCAGAACCACAGAAAAACGGTATAACGACTGACCAGTTATTAAATATGAAGATCTGATTCTTCTTAACTCAAATGAAAAATCTTAGTGACATTTTGTTTTTCACGATGTTTTCCTCCAATCCAACGAGCGCCGTTCTACTGTGCTTTTAGCAATTACACTAAAAGTTTACTAGCTTTGTACTTTTAGAAAAACCACAAAAATTTTGAGTTTAAGTAAAAAACTTTTTTAACCCTTTCCTTCTTGCTCTCGTGAAAATGACGGGGTGAGTTTTTGCCCGCTATTTCTCGCTCCTGTGATATTGACGGGCTGGAGGTTTCAGTAGTAACTCGCCAATAAGAATAAAACTAATTCATTTCTTTTGCCCGGAAAACATTTTATTTCTCATTTTACACACCTGATGGCAGTACCTGAATATTTTTTAAGGTAATTGTAGATAGTTAGTCAATTTTAAACTAGTTGCAGCACTGAGCAAATATGTAATGCAAATACAAAAGAAAAAAAATAGGCACTTTTATGACCGTTTTCTTGAAAATTAACCGATCGTTAAGAGGTTAGAGAATGAAAATTAAAAACATTAAATATTTCAAACAAATGTTAATAAATTAGAATGATTGGTCTATCAAAGACAGCACAGTACGACACATATTATCAAGTAACATAATCGGTTTGATTTCAAAGATTAAAATGAAAGAAATGACAAGCAGGATACAGACAAAAGTTTAATGAAACAAAGAGTTTGAGGAATACAAATATCAAGTATTCAGTAACAAAATATTTTAATACTAAATCAGAAGAAAAAAGTGCCATAGAAATAAAATTATGTGAGTAAAAGAAAAAGTTCGTTTCAGCAAATTTTTGAAATAATAATTTGTGCATAATAAATATATTTTGTATGGTATTTAGGAAAATTTATTCCACATTCAAAAAACTCAGATAATAAAACATTACTTTTTTTAAAATTTAAATTATCACATATCTTTATGATTCTTACGATGAATATAATGAGAATACCAATGTGAGAATTTCAATGGGCATAAATCACATTCAAATGATTGATTGCCAGTGTGATAAATCATGTGAGTTTTTAAAGTTTCTTTATTGCTAAAAGACTTTCCACAAGAACTGCAAATTAATTGATTGTGGATTGCAATATGTTTCCTTATTTCAATGTAATGCTCAGATGAATAAGGACAAAGCAAGCATTCAAACTGTATCTTACTAAAATTCCCTAATGCTATATTGTCAATGTACTTCCGGTTTTCAATTTCTTTTTCTGTGTTTACTGAGCCTGTGGAGAAAAATATATAAAAATAGTAAAAATCAATGAACAGTAGAGATTGTTTTAAAAAAAATTACTCAGTAGGAAATAAAATAGCCTCTTCTAAAGAACTTATGAAGGTTGTAGTGTAAATAAACTATATTAAAATTATAATTTATAAAAAGCTAAAATTTTATGTTAAAAAAATTTGAATTAAAGAAAGAATTTTTGAAAGAAGGAGTATTTTAAGAGGAAAATACAGATAAAAAAGAGAACAAAATTCATGCATATTATCACATGCAATCGAAATATTAAAAACACATTAAATGCATATTTTTAAAATTTTTAAAAATGTCAACTCTGAACTTAGTTCATGGTAAGAAAATCAGTTTTACCTCAAATTATACAGTGAGGAAATTATTGTCCTTGACAGGGATAGTTTTTGTATATTATACGTAAAACTTTCATGTAGTAGTGAATTAGTGATGCGTTTTAAAAATATTCATTTCTTTTTTATCTAAAAGAAATAATATAATAAAAATATTTAAAGACAATTGAAATAAAACTGCAAGAGATAGAGAGCCTTTGGAAACTCATCTTATTGGGCTTGATAACCAAAAACTAGTATAAAAATTGTTTCTTAAAACAATTTTTCAGGACAATGCGCTCAATTCCTTAAAAGCTGGTGTAATGATCCTTCTACTAGATGGAATATTTCAAAAACTTATGCACCAATCTTATTAAAATTTTTAACATTGTTTTTAGATGAAATTGATTAGTGCAAATTAGGCCTTGGAACATTGAAAAATGTTGAGCATATGCTTAAAGTTTGATTAAAATTTTTTTTCTATGTTAAAAAAAAGAAAATATGCTTTTTTTCCTTACTTTCAAAACCCATGTTAATCATTAAAGGGTTAAAATTAAATAGCTATATCCATAAGAATAATTTTAACTTCTGTATATATAGGAAATTGTTTAATTATAGCCATGAGTGCAAGTTGGAAAAAAGGCCAAGACTGAAAATTGTTTGACTGAAATACCCAATATACACAATACCTCCTCAATATATGCAAACTATCTAAGAAAGCTTTACCATAATACATCAAGTTTAAATACTGTACAAAAAATATTTATGCATCTGTCTTTTGAAAAAATAACAACAGAACATAAGAAAGTAGACCAATAACGTAGACCTAAAAAATATTTTTTAGGACAGAAAAAAAAAATTCCGATTTCGAGTCAGTCTAGTTTCTGTCTTACTTCCGTCCGCGGACATCTTCGAAAGACGGAAATCCGTCCTGGGGACGGAAGACTTGCACCCATGATTATAGCAAATGTTTATAATTAATTTACAGTATTAAAAACATAGAAAAACACTAGTGACCAAAAAGAATAGATGATTTTAAATTACGTTTTTAATACTTTTAATATATTTACCTATATTGCATAATTTGACCTATAATTTTTTCTTAAAAATAGAAGATTTTGCATTTTATCTTTGTTCAATTTCCCATTAATTGATTTTTCTTTGTAAATTTAATAATTTCAGAAGTAATACTTTGATAAATATTGGAAACATTATAACATTATAAAGTAAGCATTGTTAAAAAGAGCTTCTAAATCTAAGATCACTACATTTTGATGCTAGCAGATTTTTATAGCAAATGTGAATAAGCACAAAATTTTTTTTAAATTTTAGTTATAAACTATGAAATTAAAATAATATAAAATAAAGTAATAAGAAAATTAGCAGTTATTTGAAATAATAGGCAGCTTAAAAAAGGGAAGAACACAAAAAGATAAATTCATACATTAAGATATACATTTCAAAATTACCCAATAGCTTAAGTGCCATAAGTGTTCAAGATGAGGGAGACAAAACTAAAATACACAGTTACATTAGTTCTCAAAATTCAAGACATGAAAAAAATCTTCCATTTACTAAGTATCAGCAAAATGATTTCTTGTTCAAGTTTTACATGTTTTTAACTTAGCTAAATTTAAATTGATGATGACTCACAAAATTCTTGTTTTTTATTTGTTGTAAAGATTAGGGGAGACTTTTTCTAATTATTGAAGAGTACAATTACTTCAGTCTCCAAGGCTAATAAGGTTCATGTGCAGTAGCTTAATATTATCTACCACTTTAAGCACATAATGTATATAAATTTAAACACAAATATGAACAACAGCCATAATTTCTAGATCCAGTTAAATCTAAAAGAACATTTTCGTAATTAGTTCAGTATTTGTTTAGAGTAGTGAGTTTTGATCTAGTTAAAATTATTGAAACATAACACTTTTGTTGAGAGTAATGGATAACATAAGAATTAGTGGGTTATATGTTTCTTGAATTTGAAGTATTACCTGTGTGTGAAAGAATAAGCAAAAAGATCTATTTATGCTTTGTTATCTTTTGCGTTTATTAGCAAGTCTGTTTGCATGTTGTGCACTTTTGTCATCACGTAAATTAAATGTGTTCATCCATTATTTGCAGCCAAATTTTTTTAGAGTGAAAAATGGAAAAGTCTATTACAAAAAAAGTCATAGTTGTAAATTAGAAGATGTTATTATCACTTAGAAGATGTTATTATGTTATTATCACTTAATTCTTTAATAAGTAAAAGGGTATTTTTGTAATGATTTTCTTATTTATTTATGACAGGAAAGAGAGTTGATTTAGGTAAAATTCGTGAAGTGCAGAATTAACTATTTTAAAAAACTTTCAAGTCCAGTTTTCCTTTAAATAGAGTAAAAAGTGTATAAATATAATTTTAAAAATAATGAATTCTTTCAGAAAAACTAAAATATTTCAATAAAACAATACCTTTTACTTTATAAGAATATAAATAAAATGTACTGAATATTAGCATAGTTAATAACAGCAAAAACTAATTCTTTTAAACTTTCTCCTATAGGTTTCATACTATAAAAAGATTAAAAAAAATAATCATGTTCAATAAATTTCATTACATATTAAATCAATATTTCTTTTTTTAAATGAAATAGTTCAATAATGATTTTTAAAATTAATTGTCTGAATTTTAAATTTACTGATCATAATGCGTCATTTGGTGCTTCATGCGAGAACACCTGTGTGCAAATTTCATTGGACAATAACGGCAACTATATGGCTTTTCTCCAGAATGAAGAACCATATGCTGCTTTAAGCCATCTTTACGTTTGAAGCAACGATTACAAATAGCACACGAGAACGGACGATCCACAGTATGCAAAGAAAGATGTTTTTGGTACTTTTTATAGAATGGTGTACTGAAAGTACAATTCATTTCTGAACAAAAATACTCTTGTGTATACATCACTGTTGCTCCTAGATCTTTAACAGAAGCAGATTTTTCATGACCAATAGCTATGACTGTTACATCATCTACATCTATGTATTCTGGATCAGAAACCCCTATAAGAAATACAAATTTCATGAGGTTATGACATTATTTCTAATTGGCAGTTTGAATTAATTAATAAAAAAGACAATTAAAAAAATCAAATTGAGAAATATATATATATATATTTTTTTTCATATTTGAGAAGAACTTAATAGTTGCAAAAATGCTAACATTTATTTAAGAATATTTTGAGATAAATGAGAAATACAATTAGCTTCAATTTTTAATTTTCACATAGCGATTATGTTTTTAAGTTAAAAATTATCCAAGTGAGGTTTATCAATCCTCCAATGTGCCCCAATAAAAAACTGGTAAATCACAACAAAGAGCAAATATATGAAACGAAAATATGACGAATAAAAAGAGAGACTGTTGTAATAAATATAGTCAGACAGTTCTGAAAACTATCCTGACTAATATTTTATTTCAAGAACAAACACAAATGTATGTTTCTAACATTAAGCTTATAAACTGTTCATATCTTTTGATGGTTCTAATCAGTTCAATTTAGTTTTAGAACAAATTTTAAACAAAACAGTCCATTATCAACGCATTCAATTACAATAGTGAACATAAAATATCAATTTGAAATAATATTAGGAATCAACCTTTCACACAATTGCTAAATTATCTTTTTGCGAATTAACATTTATTTGTTTTATTTTGTAAACCAAATTTGTAGTTGAAGTTGTAATGAATAAACAAGAAAAATTTATTAAGTTGGAATTTTATACTAATTGAATAAAAAACTATATCTATGCTAATACAAAAATTTTTTTTAGCTCTTTTATTTATTTAAACGACAAATTACAATGTAAAATTATATGTTTATTGCTAAAAAAAAAGAAAAGAGTACTGATCACATGGGTTTGTCAACAAAGTGATCATGATGGGGCCTTAGTTAACCATATCAAACAAAAGTTAATAGAATTTTTGCTTTATAGTAATTACAGTAAAAAAATATATTCATTTTAGAATGCAAATAAGCATCTTTAGTATAATAAAAACATCTCAGTTTTATAATAAGATTTTGTCAAAATAAAAGCAAATAATTAAAAAGATATACTAAATGAATATAAAATACTTAAAATTGATGATGTTTAAAAAAGCTTTTTTTTTAAAGCCAAGTTTGAATTTTGTAGCATCTTTTAAAAGATGATAGAAGTTTCATCATATAAAATTTCTATAAACGGATTACAATAAGAAATCCATAACAAAATCTTGAACCTTCTGGACCTTATTGCTTTAAGTAAAAGCTTCAACAAACTCATTTATTTCAAATTATTTAAGAAATTTTGCAAAAATTTTTTTAATAACATGTATCAAACTTAAAAAAAATAAAATAAATGTGTATATTATATACAATTTGAAATATATACATAAAATACAAATAATACTAAAAAAATTAAACAAAAACAGTTAATATAAATTATCTCTCCAATGTGTAACAATATGTCTTTTCAAATTCCCTTTAATAGAAAACCGTTGACCACAAATAGAGCAAACATGAGGTCTTTCCCCAGTGTGAATTAAGAGATGTTTCTTTAAGTCTGCATTTGATAGAGCTGCATAAGAACAATCTAAACATTGGAATTTACGATCGGAATATTTCGATAGCCATTTGTCACAGTTTTTCTTCGTTTGAATATAAATCCCTAAAATGCAACAGAAATAATTAATGCGAGGCATAAATTTTTAGAAAAACACAATGCAAAATAATAACTATAAACAATAAAATAGATAGAAAAATATTAGACAAAAATTATCAAACAATCAAAGTGGTACATATTTTGAAAATGAAATATCAAAACTGAAATCAGAAGTATTTTTAAAAAATTATGTTTTTATTTTGCTTGCTTTCTTCTTTCTAAGATTTAAGTAGGGGTAAAAACACATATCTTTTAAAAGGAAATTTATATAAAAATTAACTATATCTTTCCATTTATAGCAATAAAAAAATCCTCTGGATATTTTATTCTGCCAAATTAGTATTTTTTTTAAATTAAGTAAAAAGAATCAGTATAATTACATAAGAAGCAAAATTTAGGGTAAATGGAAAATCCTTAAAATTCCACAAGATCATTTTAGATGAAATTTGGCCAATGCAACTAAATTTCTATTTTGTTGCCTTCCTATTTTGAGGCATTTAACTTGAATTATGATAAAATAAAGTTCTTATTATTTTATAACATGAGGTTGCAGAATTTAAAGAATCTTAGAAGAATAAAAAAAATGAAAATAAATATATATACTTTCCAGTTTTATTTTGACAAACTTCGATTAAACAATTGATAAATCTCTAAATATTTCTATATCACATTTTAATTTGTAAAACTAATTTTATGTAATATTTTTTAGGACAGTTTATTATCATTTCTTTTTACTTCTCTTTTTTTTATTATATATCTGGGTGAAAAAAGAAAACATATATATATATATATTATGTATCATTTCCTTCCCTTAAAAAATATTAATCATAATAATAATAATAAAAAAAAAAAAAAAATACATGGCTGAATTTTTATCACTTTGAGTAGAAGCACAACTGTTAGCTTTAAACTAACTTCAGGGACACTCAGTGTAACATTTTTAGGCTCATGAAGTTTGCATTCAATTTTTCATATTTCTCCAGTGTCTCATTTAGAGTCATAACAAAAACTCTTCATAATAAAAGTAAACAAATACTTGCATTCTATAGTTTAAATAACAAGAAAGCAATTTAACAAATGTAATAAATTTGATTTAAATAAAATGGCATAGGCTTTATAATAACAATAGAAAAAAAGTTTTTTGAACAGAAATTCCCTAATGTCATAAAGAATATCTGGTGAAAAATTCTCTAATTTGAAATATTTAAACTGAACAAAAGAAACAACTCATAGAAAAGTATTGATTAGATATTATACTTGTGGAGCTCATGTAGAAATAGTGGGATTGAAAAAGCCAAGTCTAATTGAAAACTTTGCATCTTCAATATTGCTGAATTCTTTCACACATCGAATATATGCTACAAGCTACGAAAAAGACATTTTAGAAAAATAATATATTTCAGCTTGACTACCCAAGTCAAAATTCCAGAAAATTTATTGAGTAAAAAAAAGAAATGAAGTTTAAATCTAAAAATTAGAAAAAGATTTAAACAAGGTTTTTTCCTTTTTCTCCATATTTCTTAGTTTGCTTAAAATATATTTAAAATTTTACACATACCTATGATGACCTGGAGAAGTAATTGAAATTTACAAATATGTCTTTCTTGAATTTATGATTATAATAACTATTTACTGAATATTAATCTTGAATATAAGCGGCTTATAAAGAGGCTCCCTTATAAACAAATAAAATAAACTGTGTTTTTAAGTTCCACCTTTGAAAATTTGATTTCCGGAAACTTTTGCGATCAATGATTTTTTGAAACATCTGAACCTTTGATCTCCGGAAACTCGGATCACGGTTAGCGAAAAATCCGGATTTTTTTCGGAGCACAATCAGCCCTCCTACTGAAACAATTATTTATCAAACTCTACAATATCAATTCATTATCCTTGAGCTACAAACATTTTATGCATAAATAGATAAGTAAAAATTTAATTCATCACAATAAGGTGAAAAAGGTGATCAAAATAGTCATATAAGTGTACTTTTATTTAACATAATTAATAAAAAAAAACCTTGTCTACCTCTAATTACAAATTTTTTGAAACATCAACTCCTAGTTTGTTTACACCAATTAAAATTTTAAACAAGGCTTTAGGAAGAAAATACATAACTTTCTTTGAATTATAGTAATTAGGTGGAAAATATTCTTAAAAAAAAAACTATAAGCATTTTTTAGATTATAAATACATTGCATGTGAATTACTTTTGTTATAAAATCCATCAAAAATTAAGACAGAAATTTGAGTTATAACAATATTATTGTAACTAAATAAAAGTAAACTTCCCAAAAATTATTTATATCTTATTTAATAATATTTCATGAAAACAACAAATTCCGTTATCTTTAAAAACATTGATGAATCTGAAACAGAAAGCATCAGTATTCCCCCCCCCCTATTGATTTGAATCATTATAACTAGACTTACATTTTTTTTTAAAATACCAGGATGTGTTGCAAGTATTTATAAAATATTTATTAATAAATTTGAAGATTCTATTGATAAGTGAATTATTATTAATTTAGACAAATAACTAATGCCACAAAAAGTAATGAATATACAATGGATGATTAATTATAATATGGCCAATGGTAATATTTTATTTATTGGTAGAAAGCTAACCAAGAACTTTGCCCACAAAGGTAGGCTGTCCCAGAATTTGAAAAAACTGTTTTTATTTTTATTTAAAAAGGTCCAGCCCATTTGGGGTTTTTAAATTGTTACTTCTGAATCCCTAATGAAATTCAGGATTTGCTTCAACATGAAAGTTAAATATTTGGTAACTAAGTATTTAAAACTTGTTTTGTTGCAGTGTAACCAACCAGAGTCCTTTCAATTAATATAAAGCAAATGGTGTTAAAATTATGTTCTTGAAGGTATGTTAAAATGTTGACTTTAAAACAGTATTATCTATTTAAAAAATCGCAACTGTTGTATTTATGGATTCATGCATTAATTAAATGCATAGAAAATAAGTAGATTAAAAAAAAGAATTACGCAACTAAATTTTAAAAAATGTATAGATATTAAATGAATACTTGTTAAATTTCTTTGGAAACATAGAGAAAGAGGTTTTATTATACAAGTGTAATTTGAAATTTCTCTTCACGTTTCTAAGTACAGAATATTTCCTGCTTTGATTATACTTAGCTTATTTTTTACAGTATAACAAAAAATTAAATTGCGATTAGAATTCATGAATAAAAAATTAACTTTACTACTATCCTAGCAAACAGAAATCTTACAAATTAAAAATATCAATCGAAGATAAACTGTTGTTGTTACCAACGTTTAAGGGTGCCTATTTCTTTATAATTTAGTTCTTGCTGAATCCAAAAAGGATATTTTCCCCTTGAAAGCCATATTTTTAAGGGAAGTAAGGCATATTTGATGATGCATTAATTTAAATTCAAGAATTTTCTCCCAAAGTTTTAAATTCATTTGCTTTCATGATTTTAAATCGTTTACTTGGGTTCAAGCACCATGATCAGTTCTCTCGGCAATTCTGGTAACATGCATTTAGTCGCTGTTGGCTGTAACTGCAAATTAGAAATCGACAAAAAAGTATACAAAACAAATATGGTGGTGATTCTATAATTTTTTTTGTTTTGTGTAATAATTTTTTTATTTATGTTTGTTTTATGCTTTTTAAATATCGTTTTATATTTTTTTAACGTATGATTATTTAGTTGACATTTATTATTATTATTTTGATAAAGGTGTCGAGTTTTCATTAATGAAGCTGATATCTGACTTATTGCTTGACTATGCATTATTTTTGGACATTTAAATGCAAGCGATTATAATTATTTTGTTCCATATCTTCGCTTGTAGGAAATGGAATACACTAAACTTAAAGGTGAGATCTTATAAGTGATTCAATATCCTGATGATGGACAAAATCATAGATGCCGATAGACGGCAGCGCTTGCTGCATCTTGAAAATTGCATCAGGGATGTTAGGTCCGAAATCAATGTTGATGGCCTGTTAGATACTGTTCAGGCTTTATATTTTGATTGTGATCATCCAGCTTTGAGACGAATGAAAAATATTGAAAATTTTCTCAACCGCTATGAAGGACCTGCAAATGCTATATTATCATCCCGTATGAAACCTGATGATTTTTCGGTCATCAAAACTATAGGCAGAGGAGCGTTTGGAGAGGTACAATTAGTTCGACATAAATCTACAAAAAATGTATTTGCAATGAAGCGTCTTAGTAAATTTGAGATGATAAAGCGATCTGATAGTGCCTTTTATTATGAAGAAAGATATATTTTAGCTCATGCGAATACTGATTTTATAGTGAAGCTCCATTTTGCATTTCAAGATGATAAATTTCTATACATGGTCATGGATTATATGCCCGGAGGAGACCTGGTGAATTTGATGAGTAATTACGATTGTTCCGAGAGTTGGGCCAAGTTTTATTGTGCAGAAGTTGTGATGGCAGTTGATGCAATTCATTCTATGGGGTTTGTTCATCGAGATGTGAAACCTGATAATATGCTTTTAGATAGAAATGGTCATTTAAAGCTTGCTGATTTTGGAACCTGCATGCGAATGGGTCCAGACGGACTAGTCCGATCAGATACTGCTGTTGGTACCCCTGATTATATTTCACCAGAAGTGTTGAAATCTCAAGGTGGGGAGGGGTGTTATGGAAGAGAATGTGATTGGTGGTCTGTTGGAATTTTCCTTTATGAGATGTTGCTGGGAGACACACCTTTTTATGCAGATTCTCTTGTAGGAACTTACGGAAAGATTATGGATCATAAAAATTCGCTGTCTTTTCCAGATGATGCAGAAATTTCTCGTGAAGCAAAACATCTAATATGTTCTTTTTTGACTGATAGATCACAGCGGTTAGGTCGGAACGGAGTTGATGAAATCAAGCAGCATCCCTTCTTCCGGAATGATAATTGGACTTTTGATAATATTAGGGAATGTGTTCCTCCAGTAGTTCCAGAACTATCATCAGATGAGGATACTAGTAATTTTGATGAAATCGAAAATGAAGGTGGTGAAGAAAATTTCGTTCCATCTAAAGCTTTTGCTGGCAACCATCTTCCATTTATCGGATTTAGTTATTCTGGTGATTATCAGTTATTGTCTTATGGTAATGAAGTAAATGGAAACGTAGATCGTGTAGATATGTGTGTTGATGCTATGAAGAAAGTAGAAGACCTTGAAGGAGAACTACAAAGGGTAGTAAATCTAAATATGGAGTTAGAAAGAAAATATTTGTTTTCATTAAATCAGATTGAAACTTTTGCTTCGCAGCAAAAAGATGTTGCTGTACTGCAAAACGAAAATAGAAAAATGGAAAAAAATGTAGCCGTTTTTAAGCACGATCTGAAAGAGGCTCAACGCAAACTTGATCATGAAGTAGAAAATAGAAAGAAGGCAGAATCCAAAGCAGAAGAATATTGGAACTGGATTGAGCATGAAAAAAATTTACGCTCTCAACTTTCTACATCAAATCATCAAATGAATGAAAAAGCTTCTAATTTAGAAAAGGATTTGCGAGAATTGAATGATAAATTAAAATTGGAAGCTGATAACAATATGAAGTTGAAAAAATCCAATGCTGAATTAAAACTTAGCAATGCCACAAAAGAACAAACAGTCCAAGAATTAAATGAAAAAGTTATGTCACTCCAAAACTCAAATAAAGCACAATCTCAAAAACTAGCTATGCTTCAGTCACAGCTTGAACAGGCAACAACTACATGGAACAAGGTTTCTGACCATTCACAAGATTTAGAAAACCATAAGCAAGTGCTCCAAATGGAGCTTGAACGAATGCATGATAGGGAAAGAATTTTACTGTCAGAAAATCGTGATATTAACAGTAAATTTGTTGAGCTTGAGAAAAATAATGCGATGTTGGAGCTAGAGTTAAGAAATCTCCAGAAAAAGTATGATCAAGAAGCTACAGCTCACCGAGAAGATATAAATGCCCTTACAGCTGATAAAAAACGTTTATTATCTTCTACTGAAGAAGCTAATTTGGAGGCTATGAAAGCTTTACAAACAAAATTAAATGAAGAGAAAATCTTGAGGCATAAGTCTGAAAGTGTCAGCCAGGAAAAAGAAAGAGAAATATCGATATTGTCTTTTGATTTTAGACAGTTACAACAACAATTGCAAAAACTTCAAAGTGAATATGTGAAAGAAAAAGATAAAGTTAAAAGCTTATCTGTACAAATTGAAGAAGAAAATCAAAAACGCAATACCATACAAATGGAGTTAACTAATAGATCTTCAGAAGTCACTAAGCTGAAAACCAAAGAAAAGGAGCTAATCAAAGAAGCAAATGAACTTAAAGAAGTTAAACGTAGCATAGAAGATGAACTTTACAAACTTAGAACTTTGAAATCTTTAGATGATTTGCAAACTAAAGAGCTAAAAGATCAATTTGAAACTGAAAATTATTTTGCAACTTTATATAAAACTCAAGTTAAAGAATTGAATCAAGAATTGGAAGAAAAACAGCAAATATTAATGGATTTTGAAAATGAAAGAAATAATTTATCGCATCAACTGCAACTAGCAATGGCACGTGCAGATTCTGAATCTCTTGCCCGTTCAATTGCTGAAGAAACAATTGCAGATTTGGAAAAAGAAAGAGCTATCAAGGAAATAGAATTAAAAGAATTGATGTCCAGACATTGGTCAGATTTATCGAATAAAGATTCATTATTATCAAGTTATAAAGAAAAGGAGAATGAATACAAGAAAACAATCGAAATTCTAACTCGTGAGAAGGAAGATCGAGGATTCCAGTTGTTGTCATTGCAAGAAGATATGAACAACTTAAAGAACCAGACTTCTAATACAGAAGAGCAAATTCAGCAACTAAACAAACAAGTACAACAGGAACGTGTCTTGAAATTGCAGGCTGTTAATAAATTAGCTGAAATAATGAATCGTAAAGACTGGACGGGAAAGAAAAACAAATCAAGTGCTACTGATTATAGAAAGAAAGAAAAAGAATGTCGTAAATTGCAGCAAGAATTAAAAGTGGAGAAAGAAAAATATAATCAAACAGTTGCACGATTACAGAAAGAAATGTCTGAATTGCAGTCTTTCCTGTATGATGAGAGTCAAACGAAATTGAAGCTTCAAATGGAGTTAGATTCTAAAGATTCAGAAATTGAACAGTTGCAGCAAAAATTGGTATTTCTAAATAGTGAGACTGATAGTGTAAACAGTGGACCTGATACTGATTTAGATGATTTTGTTGAAACTCGCCTGGAAGGCTGGTTATCTATTCCCAACAAGCAAAATATTAAAAGGCACGGTTGGAAAAAGCAATATGTTGTAGTAAGTTCAAGAAAGATAATCTTTTATAACAGTGAGGCTGATAAAGCAAATGCGGATCCTATTATTATTTTAAATTTAAGTACATTGTTTCATGTGAGGTCAGTCACTCAAGGAGATGTAATTAGAGCTGATGCCAAAGATATACCACGAATTTTCCAAATATTATATGCTGGGGAGGGAGAAAGTAGGAAACCTGACAATAGTCATTTAGAATTACAGATGCCAAAAGATTTAATGCAGTCAGGTGTTATAGAATATAAAGGTCATGACTTTGTTTCAATTCATTTTCATATGCCTACAACTTGTGAAGTTTGCCCACGACCAATGTGGCATATGTTCAGACCTCCTGCAGCTTTAGAATGTCGGCGATGCCGAGTAAAAGTTCATAAGGATCACCTGGACAAAAAAGAGGAATTGATAGCTCCTTGTAAAGTAAATTATGATCCTAACACTGCCAGAGAACTGTTACTTCTTGCAAATTCTGTTGAAGAGCAGCAAATGTGGGTCTCACGCTTACGAAAAAAATTGGAAAAGTCTGGCTATGCTGCACAGAGAGAGGCTCGAGGTGGCTCGCCTCGAGCTTCTATGCGATCAACAACTAGGTACCATCATCAAAAGTCTGCTACACTCATTAATTCTACCTTGCCATCTAATGTTCTTACTGGTACAATGTAAAAAAGGGATTGATTGTAGTATACTTTATATTTTTTAGGATCTAAAATGCAGTTCTGTGTAATATGCATTGAAGAAGTACTTTTGTAAAAATCTAAAAGATTGTTAATCAGTTCCTGACAGTTGGTAACTAAAATCTAACAATGTATTTATTGTATGTTTAATAGAATATTTATATGAGAAAAGATCTTTTAAATAATATTTTAAATAATGCTATAAAGTAATTATTAATTATAAAGGGACCATATGTTTATTAATTTATCTATAACAATTACAATGTTTTTGACAAATGTTTCACTTGTTTTTTTTAAATATTTTTTTGGATTTCTTTAGTTTTAGAATGTCTTAAATATATTTGATTCTTAAAGAAAGATTATCTATCTATAGGTATTGTTTTCTCTTTCAATTGTAATAGATGTCCAGGGACATTAAATCAAAGGTGCAATAAAAGTTTGAGTTTTGCTACTCTGTTTTTGGAACATTTATTTATTAGTATTTTTTTTAATTTTTTTTTTCCCTACTAAGTATTTTATTATTTATTTTAAAATTTAAGTAAAATTCTTTATTATTTGTACTTAAATCTGTATCCTGTATTTTAAATATTTTTATTATATATTTTACTCACTAATTTTAAATTGGTCTTAAGTGTCATTATGTTTTCAAAATCTATTTATATCAGGATTTGTAAGGCAATTTTTTTTAAAAATTTATTTACCATCATTTGAATTTTTTGAAGAAACTAACTCGTATTATCAGATATTTACAGTTATTAAACTAAATTAATGTTAAAAGTGTGTAATCAGTTAATCGGTTATCATTTACATAATATTTATATTTCAGTTATTAATAAAATTAATATTTTAGTCATTTTGTACCTGTCTTTTGTAATGAGGTATAAATTAATTTAGAAAGGAAGTTAAAGAATATTTGGAGTAAAAATTTTTATTTAATGTTTATTAATATTTAGTCTCATATAAAATATGTTTAAAATTTTAGCATAAAATTAATTAGGTAATCTAAAATATTTGAATAACTCTTTCATTTTCATTCCCTCATTTAAAAGATCATTAATTTCTTTCTTTTTTTTTAATGACATTTGTCTTAAGATAAATTATGACATAAATTTGATTAATGTTATCTTTAAAAAATTTATATTGTTTACTTTTTATTATGTTGTCATATTTGTGCCTATTATTTTATACTCTTTCTCTCATTATATTATGTGAAATATTTCAATTATAGTTATTCTGATTTTTGCATTAATTCTTATAGCTTTGATTTTGATTTGACAAATAGTGCTGAAATTGAAAATTAAGCAAAGGCCTTATTAGTAAGACATTGCATGTCATATACTTTTTTTAATCATATTATAAAGCATGTTTGTGTAAAGATTGAACTATGAAAAACAATATAATGGAAATCTATATGCTAACTTCTGGTAGAAGTAGTTACAAATTTTGATTGCTCAGCTTTTGTTTCTTTCATAAAATTGCTAATTCTGATTTCTTCATATTTTTAAGCCTACCATCTTTCTGATTTCCCTATATGCCCTATTTAGATCCCATGCTTAATATCTGTTCAAAAGGATTTTCATATCTTTCTCCTTTTGTTTGTCAAAAATATTTAGGTATTCAAATTCTGTTGAATTATTCATGTCTTAGGCTAAGACAGGTACTAGATGAGCAGTGATTCCGCTAGACTAAAAACCTAAGGATTCTTAGGAACAAAACTTCCCTATTCTTTTTGTACCTACTAAAAGGGGGACCTTGTTATTTAAAATACTACCAAATCTCAACTTTAAAGATGTTCTTAAAAAACAAATATTTTATGATTAGGAAGAAAATATGATTAGTAATAAAAACTCATAAAAGTATTAAAATAAAAATTTCTGTATCATTTCCAAAAAATTATTTTAATTTTCATTCTATGCAGATTAATACAGAAAATTTCTTTCTTTAAAAAAATTCTATTTTAATTTTGTTTCAGGAATGCATTTTAACTTTTATTCATCCCCCTATGATTTTCGACATATTTCACATGCTAAAGCGTATAAGTTGAATCGCTAAATGAATCAAATAATGTTATATAGCCAATTAAAAATGAAAATGATTCACCTTCGTATGTGAAATAGCCTCATAAATCGACTCGGGGTTATCTCAATAGTGTTTTTCCATTAAGATGGTCACTTTTTACCACCTTCTTGTTTAAATTCCTGCTGAAATTGGGAGATGACACTTTCCTCAAGGCATGTTTGTACTGAGACATTTTAACTAATTACTCTAAGATAAGCTGGGGGTGGCTGTTCATGCCCTTAAGTAACTCATTGTCTTCCTGACTGTGGGATTATTTTAACTTTGTTAAACTTTTTAACCTAATTTTTGAAGTTAATGTGCCCTAATTATAAAATTCCTACAGAAAAATTGAATAAGACTGCTGAGGCATCTATTAAACTATTTTCATGTAGTTTAGTCAGGGGTCTGTCCAGGGCAAATTTACTACCGTCTAGCGGTTCCTTCACAAATTCACCGTTCGATCAAACGATACTTTCACAAATTCAACTTGAAGAAAAACGGTAATTTCGCAAAATACTTTTTTTAAAAAAGCACATTTTCCTCCATGCCTTTTAAAACTTTGTGGTACAATTGTCTTTTTTTATGAGTTAGCAATAGTAAATGATTGCATGCTGTAAATTTATGTTTGAACATATTTTTCTTTTTTTTTATTGCTAAAAATCTTCATCTTTATTTAGACTTATAAATATTTAATTTTTACAACTACTCAGTATTAACCGAGTACAACGTCAAAACTTGTCTGAGTATGTTTATATTAAAAATCTGTTATTTTAACTCAATATACTGTTATCTCAATATGCTAAGTGTGCTGAGTACTTAGTAAAATACTAATTAAAATGATATTCCGTACATGTTGTGTTGATATTTTAATTTTCACAAATTATTTCTAAATTTTCACAAAATAGGTACCTCATAAAAAAACTTAGACAGACCCCTGTGAGTGTTCTAAATTTATCGTAATATTTTTTGCTGTGTCATTTCTGTGTGATTATCAATGTGCTTTGAGTCTTTTTAAATGTAATTTTGGATTACATTCATTTAGGGTTATCAGCATCTAATGATGAATAAAAAACTGGTGGTTCAGTTTCTAAAAAGATATTTTAAGTTTTCACTGTTTTATCTTTCCTATTTTAATTCCTCTTAATAGATAATATTGTCTAACAGAAGCATTTTTTTATTTGTATTTTTTTTTACATTGGAAAAAGAAAGTTGTGAATTTTAGGATAACCTATTAACCAGTTTTTTAATTTCCTCCGGAAGATGGTAAGCCTATATTTATTGAAATGTTTATATTTATTGCCATTCACAATTCATGTTCCATAATTTATGAAAATTAGTTACTTTGGTTAGTTGAAGTAATTATTTAATTGAATTTATGATTTTTTTTTAAATTTTTTTTTTACTGCAGTCAACACTTTTTAGTATGACCACCTATTAATTTATCCATCAGAGCAATGTCCTGTTTATTATTCATCACAATGCTATTTTATTGCTCATTGGAAAGTCTAGACTTGCCCTTCTTTCCAGTATAGCGACTAAAATTTAGTTTAATTTTCTTTTTTTGTCATTTTTTAAAAAATCAATGCCAAGGCATTTATTATTGTGTAAGGCAGGCCTGCTTTGATTGACAATTAGTAATTTGTTTGAAAAAAATTGCAAAAAAATTATTTAAGACATTATTCTTTTGACATTACCTCACATTAAAAATAAGACATATTGAACACGTTATGAATGGAAGAAAAGTGACGAAACCCCCTAAATTCTTATTCTCGGTTGTTGTTCTCTAATGTCTAAAAGGTAAAGGTACAATGCTTAAATTATTGATAAGCAATAGCTAATTTTGAATAGGTGTGTAAAAATCAGAATGATGTCTAGTATGTGTTCATTTCTTCCACTCTTCATAAACTTTATTTCCAAGTATTCAATAAATTTCTGAAATGAGTAAATATTTGCATAATTTTTGTACACGCACGATAAGAACAACTTATTGATATAATGTTTATTTTTGATTAGACACCAGGGTTGATATATTGAGTGTCGACTGTAGTTACTGAGTATTATTTGTCATTAAAATTGTTATCATTATCACTATCATATTTTTAGACAAAAGTTTATTTTTTTTATGAAAAAAACTAATTCTAGATCAGAGAACTCTGCTGGCAGCACAACTTTTAGTGCTTGCTATTTTTATAGCTAATTAGCTGTATAATTGCTTAGACTTGAAAAAATTAATTTGTAACAAATTAGTTTCTATTTGCTATATTCTAGCCTTAATAGATATTATATATATTACAAATTTAAAATTCTTTTTTTTTTTTAATGATAAATGTGTCTGTATTGCCAAACAGGCCTTTAATCAAATGAGTCTCTTGCAAAACTCGCGAATCAAATTCACACATGTTTTTACGACTTCCAAGATATTTCCTTTTTGTACTTAATTTAGGATCTCCATGTTTTATATAAGTATTTTCTTTTTTATTAAAAGGTAAGCAAATTCTTAATTTCTTTGCAAGTAATTGGAATAGAAAGAATTTTTTAAATATATATTCTGTATGATCTGACTATTTTTGTATTCTTTTTTTATATTTCATTTATAGACGTTAGTTAACTATTTTCCTGTTTCAAGTTACTTAATTCATCTTGATTTCAGAATAATGAGCTTCAATGTATCTTGAAAACTTATTTGATTTTCAAGTTATCAATTTTCTAATAAAATATTTTGTATACTTAGGTGAATTACAATATTAATAAGTTGAATTTAAAATGATGCCCAATTTCTTAAAGTTTTTAATTTATAGGAAGTACATGATCTGCATTACATACCTTAATATTTTCTAAACCTTTTGTGTATATAATTTTAAATTGAATCTCACTGATAGATTTAGCACCAAATAATTTATATACAATTTGCTGTAATGCGTGTATAGATGTTTTCAAATTTTTTTATGTAGACAAAAATGCTTTTTTACCAATTATGGTATTCTGTAGAAACCTGTAAGTAAAAAACTATTCACAAGTTCCACATTTATATATATATATTTTTTGCATCCACCCTTTTTTTTAACTGCTGAGATCTTCAATTTTTCTTTCACTTCAGTTTATTCTTATTGGTCTCCTTTTTCTTTGTAATTCAATAATTCTTTAAAATAAAATTCAAGTTTTTATTCATTACTAATATCAATTTTGTACTTACTTGTTTCATCCCTAATAATATAGTGTCGTTTTATTTATTTTTACATCAGTCCAAAGCTTACAGTATGAGATTTTTCTTTCAATTATTAAAATCAAATGTATTAATTTCATTGGATTTTTTTTCGAAAATTAAAATTTTTATTTATTCCTTTCTTCATTGATGGGCGATATTTTACTTAGGGGAACGAAAACTAAGTAACATTTTGTAATCTCCAGGTGTTCCAAATTAAATTTTTTTGACTTTTTTCTGTTGAAACTTATTCTCTTATTTTGATTTTCTAAGATATAAA